ATTCCATATAAAACAATCCTCTTTCATAGTCTTTCAGACAGAGAAACACTGACTTTCCTTAAGCAATAACCATTTTAATATCATCTGCTTAGTTATTCTAATTAAGTGACAAATGGAAAGATAAATCAATGGCAGTTCTGTTCCACTTAACATCATGTTTGCATTAATATTTCAGGCAGATAAATTATTTTGAAATTTAGAGGATAACTTACTCCACTCTATATTTTCTCCCTTTTGGAGACCAGATTTATAAGTGATTTTTGCATGTAAGTAGAAATATATAATCTATCAAGGGATAAGCAATAAAAAGTTATCCAAATGTATTAGAAAAAACATGAAGTCTGATATTATAATAAAATAATTACCTTCCTTAGGATATTATATATTTAGGTAATACTTAACATGCATGGAAAATCTTATATATGTAACGTGACTAATGCATGTATATATAAAAGAAGGCTGAAAAGCTAGCATTTAGTCAAAATTGTATTTCCAATCTTAACTTTTTCAAATGCCTCTGATAAATTATGCCTCTATGTCTCAGAGCTTTATATCACTAATTTCCCATTTGTGGTTTTCAGGAAAAAAATAAAGAAGATTATAAAACTGTACTCCAACAGAGAAAGTTAGTGAAGCATTCTTAACTATAAACAGATAACTGGCCGTAAGATATGTTCATGATTTTCTTGAAAATGCACATTAGTAAATCAGCTATTTTAATAATTTCCAAAATCCATTTTTTCTAACAATGTATCTATCAGCGTCTCTCTGGACTTGTCACAACTCAAGTAAAACTCCAGTTTTTCTTATATAAAGTCATGAACAAATATTATCAACTGAACAATTTAGAAAACACAATTGGAAATTTTTTCGGTAAGGAGATGAATGTATCTATAAACATTCTGATAATTTTTCTAAAGAATGCTTCTAGAGATTACCAAAAGTATTACTTTTGTTTCCAACATTTAAGAAGTATATTTATAATCTGTTTCATTAGTGTAAAATTACCTATTTAAAACTCTTCAAGTATATGAATATTAATCTCATCTTTAGAATTTCAGGAGAAGAATAGTATTATGATCTATGTTTACTTTGTTCATCATTTTGGGAACTCTTAGCTCTGAAAATCACATAAAAGTGATCCTAGCTCATTACAGACTTGTACTTTATTTGGATTGTCTCTGTGGTTCCGGAATCTCTGTAAATCCCACCCTCACACCACAATCCAAAAGGGTCAATAACCATTGTCTCTACTCATCAATGTAGCAAATGAAGCAGAATTTCTAATACTGGCGTAGATATTGAATCACAATAAGTACTTTTCTTTACCCCTGGTCAAAGTCATATACACTGTGTTTGGGAACTTTGATATAAAATATCCAGAATACTGGTGGCCAGGTATTTCTCAGGTCAAGTGGAAGAACAGACAATAATCACTTAGAACGTGTATATATGCACACATATGAAAGAGATGCCTGACATGTTAACAAAGACTGTATTTTGGAAAGTTTAATACTGTCAAAAATAACAGTGGTGTATGCTCTTTTCAGAAAACTGAACCTTATTCTTATCCACATCATACAATGAAAACACTGCAGGGGAGAATAAATTCCTTGAGAAAAGAATTATAATGATTTATTGATGTTTTACCCCTGTGAAATTTCACTGAGGTTTTACTATGAATTGCAAGATACCCCTCTAGGCAAGAATTGTGTCTTAGCCCCCATTTTAGACAGCACACCTCTAGTGTTGCTTTAAAAGATGACTACTATTATCTATTTTGATCAGCTCCCTTCATTTATATATGCACTATGCGTGCATGAACATGTGAAAATACTAATATAGCTGGATTTTGACACAACTAATATCCGTTTTCAAGTATTTCACAGAAACACAAGCAACTTAGGTGCCGCTCATCTCTAGTTCTTGCAGAAAAAATAATTTATACTTTAATCACTTTTTAATTTATGTTTTATGCATTCATATCTGGCCTTCATGCCTAGCAATTAACTTTTTAATAGTATTCACCACTTAGCTAAGTAGCATATTACTGCCTGCTTCAATTTCCCGTGCATGCTCTGACTGTTGTCATTACCTCAGTAAGTAAATAGAACATTTTAAATGACACTTCTCAAACCTTCTTATAAATATTTGGCAATAGGCCTTTAGTATTACATGTATCATCACCTATTGGGAATATCTGTAATTTGAACTAAGGCAAAGTGATTTATCTTAAGAATTAATCATTGTCATTAAATCGGTATCAATCACGATAGCATTATAATGAGAACTTCAAAGAAACTGTTTGGCATAAGCATTTTTTAAACCCACACAGTGAAGTTTAACATATTCAGAATTATACTGTACATCTTTATAATGCACACATTTAATAAAACACAGTAATCAGCAGGAGATACATGTCATATTACCTAAGCAAGAGAGATTGCAAGGCACTTAACATAGTAATTGCACTCTTATCTACTGAGACTTGACAAAAATTGTTTCACAGAATATTTAATCTAATTATCGTATATTTCCAAAAGTTCCTTATCATAAACTGTTTTAGGTTTCACAATCTTGCAGAAAGCTAGAATGGCTAGACTGAATGAAAGCACATCCAAACAACCCTGCACGGCCTCAAGAGGATGGAAAGTAGGTGTTTTAAATTTTCATAGTCTACATTTACCTTCTTCTGTCCGTAGACTGAAGGTATCAAGTAGAAAAGACATTATTTGATCATCATTGATTAGATGATCTTTTTTTTTTATTTTAAAGAGAAAAAACAAAATAACAACAACCAAGACATAAGCAAAACCAACAATAAAAAAGATACGGAATTTCAAAACAAGGTGATAGGAAATTAACAATGGTTGTCATATTACATATTGTTATTGTCAACAAAGTTGCTGATTACCAGATGTAAGAATGCAAGATTAATCAAACAATTAAAGAGGATAAAAGTAATCAAAAAACATTAGAAACAATACAGAGTTTCACTAATCGAGGTAGTAGGGATTCAACAATGTGATTTGATGGTCTTACTTCTCCCCAATTTTCACAAACCTCAGCAAGAAAGCCCAAAGCAATTTGTTGTCTAAGAAAATGTATATAGTATGGGGTAAATTCTTAAAACTTTGACTTTTATATAAACCAGTAAATGATTTTGAGAAGATATTAATTTAAAGCACACTATAGATATGTTCTTTGCCCATAATGATATCTATGATTAAAATAAAAAGAGGACCTGATAAAATAAATAGTAAAATATATGTTTTGAATAAAAATCAGTGATTATGCTTTTAAAAATAACAGGAAAAACTGAAAAATCTTAATAAAAGGATGAACTTCGCTAATGTTTAGCAATGTTCAAGTATGGGTATTTTGATTTACGTTTTCCTTCTTTTGATGCCCAGTTGCTATGGGGCCGGGAAGCGATGTCATAAGCTGAGAATCTCCACACTCTATGTCCCCAAAGGCTTTCAAACCACCCTGATAAGTTGTGGTACGATTGCTTGATGTGCAATTTCACTTCAGAGGTGAGGGTTTTGGTCTTTCTCTAAGTATGCCCATTTCTGTCCTGTCTGAGGGAAGCACTACGTGCACAAAACTAGAAGACTCTGATGTCTTCATATTTTCCCCCTTTTCAAATTGACAACCAAGTCCTTGCTGTGTGACAACATGAAAAATACCTAAGGATTTAGTCATATTTCACCCTGTCCAAATCTTCTGTGGACGTGACCCAACTATTATGCATCTCTCAATAGACACAGACTCTTCTGTTTTTTGGTTTTTTGGTTTTTCTCCGGTACCAGGAACCGAACTCACAACCTTGCACTCGCCAGGCAGGCGCTTTTGCCGCTGAGCTAAATCCCCAGCCCCGACACAGACTCTTCTGAATGGAAGATAGTAGGCAAAAGGGAGAGGACATGAATGACAAGATGAGTGTCAAATACTGAAAACAATTCAAAGGGAAACTTCACAGCAAGAACAGAGGCCCAAAACCCCACTCATGTAATACGTGATGAATTCACTTGAACAGGAAGAGAAGCCATAAGTGAGGGCAAGAATCAGACATATTTTCTCATTTTGTGAGAGAAAACGTCCTCAGTTTTGACTAATATGTGTTATATATCACCCAACATAAAATTCCCTTAAGCAAAGAATATTTTACATTGCTAAACTAAATATTCTGCCCTTCACTCACCTCTAGCCACTTGGATTACAGAAAAAACCTCCTCCAGCAATTACATGTTTAGCATAGAAATAATTTGAACTGAAGTTACATCTTCACTTTGGTAGAATTAGGAAATCACACACATAATATACACGATAAGATATCACATCTGGCACTCTTTAAGAGTTTCTCACCAGGTAGGTGGGAGGCTGAGGCAGGAGGATCATACATAGGAAGCAACCTAGAAGATTTATAACTTTCATGAGAACCTATCTCAAAGTAAACTAAAAGTGCTGGTAATGTGAAAGTGTAGCTCAGGGCAAAAGCCATGGGTTTAGTGTCTTATATATATATATATGTATAAAATTACCATGTACATAGTCAGTTTCCTCTATAAAGCTGAGACAATCAGCAGTAATTTAGGAAGCTTTCAAACCTCCAAAATTAACAGGGCAGCTTTACACTGGCAACTAATCCCGGCCATGCAATGTATTCCAATGGCCTTCAGCAAATCATTTTAAAACCTCGATGCATAATGTTTGCTTAGAAAGGCCTATCTGTCCGTTTTGAGGGCCCTGCTGCTCTGGGAATCCGTTTTAACAGAAGCAATGCTTCCCTAGCCAGAGAAATAATAATGCCTTCAGCTTCAGAGGAGATGCACAATAATACATTTGTACAAACACACACCAGCCAGAATGCGTACATGTGCACGGGATTCCTCCGCACACGCGTCCAGTCACCATTCTCAGCAGCATCTGCCGTCATCACCACAGCGCTGTGACCGGGTCCTGTCTTCTCCCCACCCCTGCTGTTTAAACCTTCTTACCTCTCTCCCTCCTTGTACTGCCTCCAGTCTTTTCAAGCTTAATCCCTGAAAGAAAAACACACCTATGTTATTGTTGACAAGGAAGAGGTCACTTACAATTAGTGCTGCTGCAAGAATGTGAAAGTAACCCACTCACATAAAAACTCTTCTGGATATAGATGTGTACCTCATAATATACACATATGTAGTGTGTGTGCAGTAATAAAGTAGGTCTTCAAGGAGAAGCTAGCGCATTTCTTGATAAACCTGAAGACCGTATGTTAAACAGAAACAAGATGTCGTGCTCGCCTGCCACTTGGTGAGAGCCAGATGTGGAGGGTATGGTTTAGACAGGAAGTAGCACCTGCAGTCCGCTCTAGGTGGGCAAGCTGCTACCTCTGCTCTCCCACCTGCCATATCTGGGGCCCAAACATTGAGGGTGATAAAAACAGCAGCCTGGAAAGTACGGAGATTGTCCAGAAAATATTCAGGATTTTAGTTTTAAAATAAATGTTTCGAATACTCAGGATTTAGTCCTGAGGAAAGGAGTTTTCCACTCCCCAAATTATAATAACTTTTCAGAGTAGAAAAAGAGAATCTACTTGAACTCTCTAATATACACGAGCTTAATTGTTCTTAGTAAGGTAATTGCTAAATGGACCTGTGACCCAGGATGGGGGACCACAGAGTGATCTACTTATACCTATCTATCCATCCATCATCTTTATCTATTGTCACTGAATTAATGTTTTAGGGAAGAATGATTTACTTGTCTAAACTCAACAAAAATGTCTATCCATTACTTTCCCCGCAGCAGTGTTGGATCTTAATTATAGTTACCTTACAAATGTTTTATCCTTTTATTCTGCCTTCTTCACTTCTCTCCCCCACCCTTTCTACTTCTCACCCTTTCACCATTTTACAATACATGTTTAGTAACTGTTTGCTGTGAGTCAGGCATCAAGGAGACATTGGGAACATGAAAGCAACAACATAAAAGGTAGGCAATGGCCACATGGGGACAGCTTGTGAGAGGCAGGAGAGCTGGAGACGGAAGGCATGGAAGAGGGGTGAGGAGAACACAAGAATTACGATAGGTAAAGTGCTTGGATCTACTCCCCATAATGAATGTAGACATTATGTACTGCAAACAGGTACCAATCAAAATGTTACATGAATTAATAAATAGTCTCTACAACTTAGAAACTCGTTATTATGAACAAATGTGAAGACAACTTGAGGAGACTGAGGTCGGGTATGTACAGCTGTGTCTGATCACAAGAAGACGGGCTAGTGCTGCCTGGGAGCGCAGACCACATAGAGGAGCGCAGAGAGGATCACTGTGAACGACCTTAGAGGTGAGGGGGTACAGAAAGCGAGGACGGGGGACAGTTGGACCTCCTCAGCTGAGTGCCGGGTTACGACCACAGCATCAGTACACTTTTGTTCTGCAAGAATAATAATAGTTCAGTAGCTTCCATGTGTTTTCAATGAAGATTAATGAGATAGCATGAGTAGAGCACTTAGCAAAGATCCAGGCATAGTTTACATTACCATGGTAATTATTACCTTCCTTTGCCCTCATTTCCTTCATTTTATTATCTCTATCACACAGATTGATCTTATTACATATGTCTATGCATAAGATCAACCTGAATAAAATATTGGTGGGTTTTGTCTTTTATTTGAAAAATGAAAATCATGTAGACAATACAAGGAATAAATAATAATACTCTTATCGATTAGGCAAATTTAAAATATTATTCATATATTTTTTTATTTGATACTTTTCTGACAACTGTCTCATGTAAGTACTATTTTCATAACATTTTTTGGAGAACATTGCTGTGATTTTTTTAAAAGGTCTTTTTGTCTGTTTAATTTTGTAAAGCATTCTTTTCTCTCGGTGCTTCATCTTCCATACTTTCTATAGTTAAATCTTCAAACTCATTGATCTTTTCATCTGTATTCTCTAGTGTGCTGTTACTTTCATTCCTTAAAATTTTTATTTCATATTTTATATTACATTTTATTTTCTCACCATGTTTCCTATTTTGCATAGGCTCTTAACATATATATATTTATGGTAATATTTTGAATGTCTTGTCTATTAATTATGTCTTCTGTCCTTTCTAGACCTGTTCCTACTGACTGATCTTCTCCTACTTATAAATATTTTTTCTTGGTGTCCAGTAATTTTTATTTGTTTACAAATATTGTGAATTATATTTAGTTTAGTGCTAATGTTTTTGTATTCCCTTAGAGAAAATTAGAATTAACTCCCACAGACACTTAGCTTACTTGGACTGATTTGGCCAAAGCTTAGTATTTTCTTCTTCTTCTTCTTTTTTATTATTGCATTTCACAATACAAAATTATCATATTCATTGTGGGGAATAGGTTCGTGAACATGACACACATTAATTCTTGTGTGTGTGTTATTTATTTATTTATTTTATTTGTCTTTTGTCTTTTTGAGACAGGCTTTCACTATGCAGTTCAGGTTGGACTTGAACTCACTTTATAGCCCAGGCTGGCCTCAAACTCACAATGATCCTCCTGCCTCAGCATTCCAGGCATGCACCACCACGCCCAGCCAATGTTAATTATTTTTTTGTCTTGTTGCTCTCCCCTTTGCTCCTCCTCTCTCCATTCTTTGGTCTCCTTCCCCTTTGCAAAAGTTTGGATTTAAGTATTTGGGAGGGCATGAGGCTGAAATAGTCTTTAGAATTAATTTATCCTTGTTACTAAGCTTGACCCTGCTGCACTCTCTACTGAGTACTCCATATATTCAAAATCCACTCCACAGGCTGATAGCAAACTACAAGGTTCCCAGGCTGAGAAAGGTCTAGGGACACATCCACTTACAGTTCTTCAGTAATTACTGTTTTCTAGCAGTTGTTCTTTTCCTGGCCTTGCGATTCATGCTACTATGTGGAGTTCTGTATGTATATGAAGACTCCAGGGCCAAAACAAAAGGCACAAAGGAGCTCCCCCTTGGACTTCTAGAGTTTGTGCAATTTCTTTCTCTCTGGTCGACTGCCCTCAAATCTTAGTGGTATTGTTCTAGCCCAACTCAGAGCCCTGTCTTCTCAAGTACAAATCTGAAAGCCAGTGAAATTCCCTTTGGCCTCTCCCTGCACAGCATGTTCTCAAAATTTCCACCAGGCAGACACTGGGTGTTATAACCTTCTCCTAATTCTCTCCCTTCTTCAGAGATTCTCAGTGCTTTCATGCCTGCTTGTCAGTCCCTAGGTATTGTGCCATGCAATCAGTCCCGCTTGCTAAGCACTACAGCCAAGGGGCAAGTCTCACAGACACTGCTCCTGTGTGAATGGAGACAGAAGTCAAGGAAAGTACTTTTTCCAAAGGAGGAAATTATCTCTTACAAAACTTAAATTATGCTATGTGGCATGTTGAGTAGTAACAAAAAGTAAAATTTAAACTAATATTTTCAGAGGCCAGGTTGCGAGTTTATCCTTAGTAGAATTTCATCATATTCACAGTAGTCAAAATGTTTAATGTGCATATTAAAATATCTTTGAAATGATGAAATAGGTAATCTGGAGAATTATTTGAACTTCTCCCTGCTTTCTATTTATCAGCATTTTATTTTGTGCTCTCTGTCTCTGTCTCTATCCCTATCTCTGTCTCTGTCTCTTTCTCCCTCTCTCTCTCTCTTTCTCTGTCCCTGACTCTCATCTGTTTCTTCTAAGAGTCTTTTTTCTGTGTCTTGTGTTTTGAATAACTACTTTTAAGATTATGATACACAATGTATTAAGTATTGATATTCTCTTACTATTTGTTATAAAATTTTTCTTCATTTTTTTATAAGATAAAAATGTTTGTTTAATGTGTTACATCTCTATGGATACACATTTATTATGGTTTCAAAGGCAAATTTAAAGCATGCTTATTCCCTGAGGCAACTTAGAGGAAGTTGTCTCTAAGTTGCTAGCGGCTGGGTTTAGGGATTTAACAAATTTTTAAAAAAATACCTTCCTGGTTGTAATTTGGGTTGCCATGTTAGAAATGATATGCTATGCAAACTGTAAACATCTTGATTATACTTTTAGGCATTAGATTATTGGAAGATCAATTTTCAGGTTGAAAAATTGAGGCAAGGCATCTGAGGACAAGAATTTTGGCAAAGAATAATGATCTGAGAGGATCCTCATTGTGGAAACACACAACACTGTACTTCAGTGGAAAGTCAAGTGATCTACAGCATAGTTAGGTAACTATGAAAGATGACCAGGATTAGTCTAAGAACTAGAGCAAACTCAGTCTCCAACTTGGAAGACAAAGCAAAGCTCTTGTGGAGGTACTGACTATGCCTCACCATCTCTACTAGGAAACTTGTATAAATCTTGATTTTGGCTGAACATTACCAATAGTGATTTGTTCAGTTGGTTTTGAAATATCAGACCACTACGTCACCCATTTTAACCAAGAATAACATTTAGGACAAGGAATAATTTCAAAAGAAATATTAATCTCAAGGAATCCAAACTCTTTTTTGCCATATACATATAT